CCAGAAACAGCGGAAATTGTTGAGCACTCGTGACATCCCCCTTCTTGACACAAGGGTCCTGTGGTGATGCAAGTACTTCCTTCACCTCACAGACTACACAGCATGAGTAGCCAATAATTTTATGAATGTCACTATCTACATATACGTCATCCATAAGAAGGAGATAGCGTGTTAGTCTAAGAAGGAGATAGAGAGTTTGAATAGACACGGGATATATTTTGTTTGTGTGTTGTTAAAAGCCGCACTCAGGAATTTTCCTGCTACATGGCGGCAGTCTGTAAATAATCGGGTCTGTACCTGACAATCTCTTGGGGGTATTCCGAACGACAGATACGGGCTTTACGACTGAATCCATACAAACTAGACTATCTATTAGCCATTCTAGAATGTTCTTTTGTTCAGTTTTCAAAATTTTAATCGAGAATTTGTCAAAATATGTTTCCAGAGACCATATAATATTCTATTATGCGTAGTCGCCAGTTTAAACCTCGTGTCGTAAAGCACGAGAAAACTGCCTACTGATTGGCTAATGTCGACCTCTTGTCAATCATTCCAATGGTCGGTCAAAGTTCGCGAAAGGTCGGTCTGACGTGACCGTAATCATTTTTAGAACCCGGACCGCCTTCGTGGTCTAGTGGATAGAGTTTCTGCTCGGAGAGTGGAAGGTCGGTGGTTGATCCCCGGTCACGTCATACCAAGAGACATTTAAAGATGGTACGTTTTGCTACTTGTTGCTCGACATTAAGGGGATATGACAAGGACTGGTCGGCTCGGAGTCAGTATACTGTGTCTGAGTGGGTCATCTATGTTAAACTGCGGCATGGTATTATATCTCAGTGGGCTAGCACTATAAAACCGGCATTGGGCTAGTAAAATCCCCGTGAGCTAGTACAAATTTCCCAATTTTCCAATTGTTTTAACATTACAAAGGCATTTCATCTTTACCGGGTTCTAGTAAAGCTTTTGAGTTTGGTTCCCTGGACTAGTACATCCAGCCACACACACGTGCATGCACGTCGCTATTTAAGTGCAATAATATTGAACGCGATTTTAAACCCCATTTCACCTCACCTCTATTTCACGGAATCTAATAGGCCATCAATGACAAGTGAAAATACAGACTCAGTAAATTGTTGATTCCATCGGTGCCACTACTCCCACAAGTACTGAATGCTGGACCCGTGAAGATCCGGGGTAGATTAGGTCTTCAGCAACCCATGCTTGCCGTAAAGGCGATCATGCTTGTCGTAACAGGCGAGCAGCAAGATCGGGTGGTCAGGCCCGCTGACATGGTTGATGCACATTCTTCTGTATTATTACCAAATTGGCCAGTTTAATGACGACCAGTCAATGTCACAGCAGATGAACCGATCTGAAGCCCTGTCATCGTTGTGGGCATGAGTTGGTGAAGCTACGTCTCTGAATTGCCATTCAAACAGAACGGACAGTGAGAAAGACACAGTGGCGCTATCTAGGGCCTCTGGGCGTGCATTCACCCTTTGCAAATTGCAGATGTATCATTTCATATATGTTAATGTTGGAGATCTCTGACAAAATTTGTAATAAAACCCAACAGAAAGGTAGCATAAAAAAACGATTAATATTACATATTACACGTTTAAAACTTGTGTATTTCTGAGCCAAAGATAGTCATAGGACTATGATCAGCCTGCGCCAAGAACTCCAATTCCAATAGGCGTGTGGGCTATTAGACTTCATTGTTTTAGCGAAAGTATGGAACTGTTGTCAAATGTAGATAAATTTCATATGAGGAACATTATGAGTTCAATTAATTATGCTGTATGGCGCACATGGGATACAGGGCAAAGTAGAGAGTAACACTTAGTCAATAAAAACATTTCTTTAAAATAATTATATTTTTTTTCCTTCAAAAGAACCTTTCCTCTTCTGCTAATCAAGCAACTCTGACTTGGGTTAGTTTTTTATCTAGACTTGCCTAGGCCTTTAGTAAATAAAAATACAGTAAACTACAGTTATAACGAACACGCTTATAACGAACTAACGGATATAACGAACTAACTCTTTAGTCCCGACTATATGCTGTAGTTATGCTGTATATATGCTTATAACGAATTACGGTTATAACGAACTAAAATAAGTAGTCCCTTTGAGTTCGTTATAACCGTAGTTTACTGTACCTAAAAAATATAAATTCCACAGTCATGGCGCAAGACTAGGCAGATAAGATAACCAAGGTTTCATGCTTGTTATAATAGCAGAGCAATCAGCATTGGGTTGTGACAACACCAAACATGCAAATAACATAATTAATATTGTCTCTAAGCTTGATTCACAAATAGCTTACAGGGGAAAATCAGGGTATGAAACTCCCAGAAATTTGAGCCAGACCACAAGGCTGGCTAGCTGAAATACTTGCCAGCCCTGACCAAAACCTGCCTGCCCACTATAATCATATGTTTCTCAGGATAAGCTAACGGGGTTTCTTTTTGGTTACATTTTATCATTCATCTTTACATGTGAATTAATGCTTATCATCGGGAAATATTTTGAATATTTTCGCATATGAAATATAACCCGACCGTCGGGCAGGGGGATTTGAAAATCTGGCTGCCCGAGTTGAAATCAACCCGTCTCGGACGGTCGGGCAGGCAGGTATTTCGAACACTGGGAAAATATCTTAATTTAACTTCCGTTCATTTCATGAAACGCAAATTACTTTGGACCATGCGAACTTGTGTACTGTAGGTATAGCTGCACCAGTCGGAAAACTATTTATAAACACAGCTCTCTCGATACAGTGAAACAGGAGTCGGTTGCAAACTGGCGAATTGTCCCGGACAGAACGACCTTGTACTTGATTTGAGATACGCTGTGAGGAGTTTAGATAATAATGTATATTCGTAGCTCTTATAAAAGACGGTGTGAGGAGTTTATAAACCCAGGTCATTGCCCGTTGTACAGGTGTGTTCGTACATTGGTGTGCGAGGGTGTGTGTATATTAACACTAAGCATCATAACTGACAGTTCCTGTTGTTTCTCTTTTTGTTGTATATCATCACCGGTCGCTTAGTGCTTGTAGGCCATCAATGGTAAATACACAAGGGGGTGTTAATTGACACTATACATTATATACTACAGCCATTATAAATGCGTAACAGGAAATCTATTCCGTCGTGTCTATCCCGTCAGCTCTATTTTCAACTCGTCAAAACAGATTTATGATGATATATAGAACACATGAAAAGATGAATATATATATATATATATATATATATATATATATATATATATACACACACACACACACACACACACACTCACAAGTATGATCCAATTGCAGAAGAGAGTGTTCAATACAAAGTACTTTATAGCAGTACGGAATGAGTCGTGGGCTATATCTATTTATAATTTTAACTCACTCACCCACTGACCAGTGAAGAACCGGGGTAAGAATGCTACCCATGCTTTCCATAAAAGGCGACTATGCTTGTCAAAAGAGGCGACTAACGGGATCGGGTGGTCAGGCTCGCTGACTTGGTAGATGCAATTGCGTGGTTCAATGCTCATGATGTCAATCAATGAATTGTCTGGTCCAGACTCGATTATTTTACAGACCGCCGTCATATAGCTGGAATATTGCTGAGTGCGGCGTTAAACAACAAATAAACACCAAACACTCACCCACTGGTATAGTATGATTTGTCCTTCCATTCTTATCAGATCCTGTCCTAATTGTAAGTAAGTGAATGAGTAGGTTTAAAGGGGAAGTGTACACGCAAAAATCACTTTCTTTCTTTTTCTAAACAAAACACAATTTTAGAATTAGTTAGTATCTGTGTTTGAAAATATACACTCATTTTTTCTCACAGTGAAAGTAGGAAGCTCACAATAGTGTTAAAATGATATGTCGTTATAAGGCCTTCGTTTTACGAGCAAAATAGGCCTGAGTTATCCCCCTTAGATTATGACGTAATTGGTGCTAATTCAACTGGGTCCCTGTCTATTCTCAACGCAAAAGATATCAAGGACCAGTTTTTATGTAAAACAACATGGTCTACGACACACTCCGGCGCAGTGGTGACTCAGTATAACACAATTCTGGCTGGCATCTGAGACGCTAAAATCACAAAACTGTACCTACACCACGTGAAGCGGCTCTAACAAAGCATGATGACGTCATAATGTTTATCAATTGGCACCAATGACGTCATATTGCAAGGGGCATAAGCCATGGTGTTTTTGTTATGGAAATAGAACACTTAGTAAATGTGAAAAATATAAATCGTTTTAATGCAAAAAATATGTTAATTAAATATGATGTTTTTATATTTTTGTCTATGACACTTCTATGTTAACACTTTTAATGTGGAAAAAGTACAAGAAAAATTGGTTCATTTCCGTGTGAACTTGCCCTTTAACGACGCTTTTAACAGTATTCCCAGTATATATCCCACCCTCCCCCATACCTTGGAACAAGCCTTGGAAAAAGGATTTTCTTATAAACACTTAGTTAAGTCATTTCAATATGCTTCTGAAACATGCTTCCAAGCCCATCTTTTATGATCAACGGCATTCAAACAATTAAAAAAGATCGATGTTCCGCATGCAAACACTTTTTAAATATCAAAATATTATTTCGGAAGTTTGATCGTTGTGAAATACAAGTAGATTCACAAAAGAAATTACATTCAGTATGAAATTTTAATCCATCCATGACTATTTTTAGAGTACCGACCTATTAAGAGATGTTGAACATACGTTGACACCATGCAAAACTGCGCACTGAATACTGCAGATTTAATGTCAGTATAACTGGCCTAATTCGCCAATAAGGATAACTGCATTTCGGTTATTAAGTGTGTATAAGACAAATGTAATTTGCATTTAATCGGAACCAGTCTAGATAATAATATTCGGCCAGTCGAACATGAAATCAGCGTTAGAAAGAAAGTGTTTTAGAAGATGGAACTTTTTGCGTAATCATAAGACTATTTGTGTCTAGGAATATCTTTACTTACATCATTGGAGGTAGCCAAATGACAGCAGGGTTGAATAGGCCTGAAACTGAAACGAATGGATATAAGTGTATATACGGCACGAAGTGATTTCCTATTCCATGTCAATTTGACAGTTCAGAAATCTAACCTTCCCACTTTCACAGCAAACATGTCATGGACATATAAAGCGAACAGTGAAAAATATTACACTATTACTTTTTTTAAATCTCGGTGCAGTTACTCACATGAAATCTTTAATAAAATGGGGTTATGCTCAAACCAAGATGTTTTCAGATATATGTCACATATAATATCAGGAATTGGGTTCAATTTACCAACTAAAGTAAACACGCACGTTGCGCATAACAAGCCTTCTGTATTCTAAGTGTACATATACTTGTAATCCCTAGATGCTATGCATACACATGTATGGTAAATTATCTTTAGATTTACTGACAGTGTTTACTAAACAAGTTTATAGAAATGCTTCCTCGTCTATGTATACGCTTAACGCAGGGTTTGGGTGAAACTGTATTTGTACACTGAGTAAAGTCTATATAGATTTGACTAATTCTTCCATTGTGGGCGGAAGAGCACTTAAAAAATATTCCCTCTTATCCAGAATCTGACATGCATGTTTATGTGACTTTCGACTCCAGTCTAACTTTCTGCACGTTTACGAGCGAAAACACGGAACTAACACTGATATAGAACTGTGTGCTTAAACTGTCATCTATATTTTACGGAAATGTAATAGAATGTTGCGTCCTTAAGCAAACTCATAATGGGAAATTTGAAAATAAAAACCAATTGCCCCTCCATAGGAATACAGAACACCTAAACGGACGACACGGCCATCAACATTGTCAACACGTGTCTATTTCAATATCACTTGGGGGCGTATCTGTTGTAGGCGGGAATCAGACGGGTGAACTTTGACCCCAAGTTTGAGTCTTTCGTTCAATGGGGAAGTTCGCCAGTCATCGGCAGAATCAACCTCCCGCCTATGTCCTTGTTCCTTTCATGGTGTAGATATTTCCCGCGCTCCTGGGGAATGGCCAGTGGGACATTTTCAAAGAACAGTAAATACATGTCTGGCACACCTTATCAATGAATGGTATTACAAGCACACCTTCACGGCTTGTCGAAATATTGTTTAAGTCGCATGGACTTCATAACTAACAGAATTTGAATTAAAATGGAGTGAAGTTTTAAATTATTATTATAGAAACCACTCGTTCAAACTAGGGAATATGTATGCGACTTATCTTTATAAGGCTAAATGTCCTACAATGTCCTATTATCATGTGTGTACGTACTGTACAGTATATTGTCAAGGGTTCAAAATGGAACGTTTATGTTATAAAATATCTATCTATAAATCTACATTCCCTGTCCCTGGTCAAAGTAGACAAAATGGTGACTGGGTATAAATATATTTGTGTTATCTTTTCTAAATAACCCTGACAAAACACATGATAGAACAGACATTTAAAAAAAAAAAATTGTATTCTCGAATATGATCCAGTCCGGTAGTCTATGAGAGTAAGTCTCTATCAGGACAGAGTCCATATATATACATGATAGCTGTTCCTGGTAAATCAAACTTTCAAATATATTATTTACGATTCAGATAACACTCGTCATATAGACCTGGCTACTCGTAAACGTTGTAATAATTTATCATTCGTCATTTTATTATTACGAAATATACAACGTGTACAACAACATAATTGGTTATCATAAAGTGGTGTTCGACAGATTGCTGTTTATCCTATACCAGACTTGCCGCCCCCGTGTATTGCGAAGTGATTTCCGCGCCCAAGTGATTGTGTCCTCAAAGTGTGGTGTGGCTGTCGCGTCAGATGTGGGATTTTGTCGATGGCCGAGTTTTACTTTCTGGTAGATCTAGATAAAAATAGGGACAACACTAGACTAAAATATCATTGTGTGTAAATTTCAAACTAGTATTTCGTTTTAAATAAACTAATAAAACTTAAAAACCAAGCTGAACTCGAGCAGACGACGCAGAGAAGTTTGTAACCTTTGACCCAAGACTTACATATATTCTTCTGACAGAATTTCAGCGTTTCCAGGAATGGCATGTAATGAACGAATTAAACAAAAATGTTCGTATAACCATAATCTATGAACTAGAACGACATATGACCTCTCTTATTTAGCCTATGAATGCTTGAACTTCTTTTGGTGGAAGTACGGGCACAAGCTTCGTTTGAGGTGCGGCATGCTAGTAGTGAAACAACTAGTTATATCAAGTTATTTCAACTGTCGCCTCATTTGACGTCCTCTGTAATAAAGAACAAAGTAAAAGGTGTCTGTATTGTTTGACTCTCTGAAGCTGTAGTCACAATACTTCGTGTGGGTTTAAATTGGGGATCTGGCTCAGTTTAAAGTATGTTTCGGGTGAAAAAGTTAAATATCACGTGGCCCCTTGATAGGTCGGTAGACTCAGTATGTATATTTTAGAACAGGAATATTCTGAATATATTCTCGACACACAGGCATAAAGCAAAAAAGATAAGATAATTCGACAATGTGCAAAATTTAATAATTAGGAAAATAATACATATTAGTCAATCAGTTCTAAATACATTTATAGCAATTGTTCGTGATACAAATCACATTAAACAGGTCCATTATGATACTTATGGTGTACAATCTAGGTTGATAAGAAGATAAAATGTCTATGAAATAAATATTATGTATAGACGTCTGCCTGAAGCCTCTCATCGTTTCAAGTTTAGTTATAAGTAGCGTGGATAGTAGCATATAGTGTTAGTGACGTCAGCACGCAGGCGTATTAATGTACAGTGAGACTCCCAGATGACCGCATTTCCCGAGATACAGGCAACATGAATGTAGGGCCCATGATCATTCAAGGGTTTTACTGGTCGAGTGTTGTTAACCAGTCACAAAAGACTACAAATATACTTTGATATCGTTGTGATTAGGATATTATTTATAACGTCGTTTGTCCCGTTGCACCGTTTTCATTCAAGTCAGTCGCCAGCGCCAGCTGATACCAGGAACCATGGATGAGGAAGAAAAGTCTAACAAAAAGTGGGATTCCGATCCAAAGATCATAATCATTGGAAGTGGCATATCAGGAATAGCAGCCGGAGAGTACCTATCAAGAAAGGGTTTCAAAAATTTCAAAATTCTCGAAGCGTCTAGTCGCACGGGAGGAAGAATTTGGAGTGTGAATGTTGGTAAGTGGTTACGTGTGAAAAGCTTACGAAAAAGTAGTCATGGGATCACTGCGTGATAGAGATTTCCGTGTTTCATAATCTTCCCTGTTAGATTTTCACATATTATGTTCCGATAATGTTCCATAAAGCCGACATGGATATAAGTGACGTATCGGTAAGGGGAGATATTTGTTTACGGTGTGTTGACTGAACAACGCGAGTTCTGTCTGGCAAGCCATGGGACTTGGCTGTCAAACTCTAGGTGAAGGACGGACAAGGGCGCTCGCTAGTTTATATTTAGATCCAAACGTTCACCACATTATTGGGGAAATACCACTGTGAAGGATCAACACCGCAAAGTCATCCATTGTTGTAAAACTCATCGTTTCCAGTTTTTAATCATTTGCACTCAGTGGCCCAAAGATCCTCACACACCAGTCTACGATACAAGACAAACATTCGATCGGTCTCTCGGAAGCCTTCTTTGTCAATTAACTGATTTGAAATCAAACTGGTTCATATGCGCGAATATCTTTTGCACGTGAATATCGGAAAAGAGGATTACTATGTTGCGTGTAGTTTTGATTGAGGAGCTGCTCATTGAACGTGTAAGTTTAGGAAAATTAAATGCTGTTTTAGGTTCTAACATATTTTATCAATGAAAATGTTTTGTTCGTTCCATGAATGTTAGGGTGTGTTATGTTTTGTTTGACATAGGATGGGGACAGCTGTATCCGTAACAAATATGAAGAGGTACAGGCAGGAGATATTAGCGACAGAATTCATTCAATATAATGCTTGGAAATATAATAATTATCTCAAATGTTGTACAGGATCTTATATTTAATAATTTGCTGTGTTTTTTAGCACCAAGGTGTTAAGGGTGAAACCCACTCGTCAGATTAAGCTTAGCCCATCCCAAAATACAAAGAAAAATCCCCCCCACAGGGAGCAGCTCTCAATGGCAGGATAGGTGATTGAACAATACACTCTCCTAAAAAAACATGTTTCGATTGCTGTTGTGTATTGCAGTGTTTATTCATCAGGTGTTTGATGTTGATTACACAGATTATGTTATTGTTTTAGACTTTCCTCACAGTGTTTTCGACCCATGAAGGTCAGGGTTAGAACAGGTCTTCAGCAACCCATGCTTGCCGTAAAAGGCACCTATGCTTGTTGTAAGAGGCGACTAACGAGAGTGGGTGGTCAAGACTCGCTGACTTTGTTGATGCATGTCATTGTATCCCAATTGCATGGATCAATGCTCATGATGACAAATTCAGACAATCACTGGTTTGTCTGGTCCAGACTCGATTATTTACAGACCGCCGCCATATAACTGAAATATTGCTGAGTGGGCGTTATACAACAAACAATCGAAAACAAAACAGTGTTTTCATCAACTTTTGTAGGGCTATTACAATACAACTATCATTTCGGTAAGACTTCACAACATATTCCCCCTTAAAAATATATACGATTAAGAGGATCTAGCAGCAATGCATACATATACAACTGTGGAGGGGCAAGACCGGACAGTGTTTCCTTCACTTCATGATATGAATATTTACCACAAGTGGAAATGTAGAACTAAGAATGGAGTGGTTTGAGAATCTAATATGGTGCTAGAAAACATTATCCCAGTATGGAACCAAAATCTCATGACTGATTTTCTAGTTCAATATCTTTTTTTATTTACAATTTACAGTTTGAATGTAACTAGAGTTGTGAATTCATTAAATCGATTCTGAGGGAAGTAATTGCTGACTGTGTGTGTCATTGATTGATGAGCTGCATGTTTTGTGACCTGTTGGAAACCTTTCCATTTGTACTTTTGGACATCTAATTTAAACAGTTCAAATACTTCATTGTTATTTGTAAACCAGTGGCATATATGTGACAACTAGTCCTCAGTACAGCAGTAAACATATATGCCAGTCTATGACAGCAGTATGTTGCTGTGAGTATAAGGCCACATTGAATCAGTTATTATATTTTATTAGTATCTTTCAAAAGTTGGACGGGATGGTTTTTATTTTTTACTCTATTCGCCGTAAAAAGAGCCTTGATCGCTTTCAAAATTGATAAGTTTTCAAAATAATCGGGATGGTGGGGTAGCCTAGTGGTTAAAGCGTTCACAAGTCACGCCGAAGACTCAGGTTCAATTCAAAGGTTGGAGTCTATCCCGGAGTCATCATCATTAAAATTTGGGTAAATACTTTAAAGCGTGTACATATTAAATCCTTAAAGGGGCTGTACATAATGTTGATGTCTCATGTATGAAGTAAACAACTTGGTCGTTGTTTATCGTACAATAAGCCACTGCAGTGTTTTATTGTACGATAAACAACAACCACTCATCATTTATTTCTTACTTAAAGTAATTCCTGCTATGCAACCTCATTTGCATATTTATCATCATACAGATTGATGTTTTATCAGATTGTTTGTTATGCATTGCTAACCCAAACCTTTATATGACAACCAAGGAGTGTGCAGCATATTTTCTTGCAGTGGTTCATGTGACATCAAGATTTTAGGGAGGCGCTGTGCAGAGTTGCGTCCCTTTGGCACGCCAGAAACCTATGATTGTGGGTTCGAATCACGGTTCGCCCCGATTATGTTTCTAGGTTTGTCAGCACCATACCCGTGCTCTTGGGTTTCACCGAAGTGATAAACGTCTGAGACCTGCATCACTTAGGGCTCTCCTCCCACATTAAGCTGACACGCCGCGATATAACTGGAATACTGTTAAAAGCGGCGTTAAACCCAACTCACTCACTCACCAGAGCTCCAGATAAGCTTTTGGTGTTGTGGGTATTTTACCCATGCATTTTAAAATCATTGGGTATCAGTAATTCTACCTGCGTATTCAAATTTCTGTTACCCACTAGTTTTTACACATGTGGGTATTTAAGTTAAATATTTAAAATAACTATTCATCTAGTCCCTGCAAACTGGTGTCGTGTGGGTTCAAGAGCTTTTATAGGACTCAAAAATACCCCGATACTTCCACAAGAAAGTGTGATGGCAAATGATCATGATGTAACTGTCATCGTGGAGTTTGGCAAGGTTGACGGAATGCCCCTTTATAATTTCAAAATAAGTTGCTGATTTGCTAATCGAATACGCAGGGTTACTTCACAATATTTTGATGATACGCACAAGTTTTATCTTTGTAGCGTATCTGTAATGTTCGTTGCGTATTTGATACGCTTGGATTATATTTTACTGTGTATTTCTGCATTTCTGATGCGTATTTCACGCAGATACGCAGCTTATCTGGAGCTCTGCTCACTCACTCAAGATTTTAGGATAAAATAACTAGTCCTTGTAGATTTTTACTTGTCTCGGACTACCATTCTAGTGGGTGTGTCTGTCCCTGTGTAGCATGGTCATATGGGCGATACAGTCCTCAAAATTAAGGGTGGCCCTTGAATCAGGGTCCCCTATATTATGAACTTTAGCATGCTTAGTTTAGAACACTGGTGATCAGAGTACATGGTCTAAGGTTTAAATGCTTTCCTTTCAGTTAATTCAGACAATGCATTGGGTGGAGTGCATGGTTTAAGGTTTAAATCCTTCCATTTTTGTTAGTTCAGACCATGCATTGGGTGGAGTACATGGTTTAAGGTTTAAATGCTTCTATTTCTGTCAGTTCAGACCGTGCATTGGGTGGAGTACATGGTTAAGGTTTAAATGCTTCTATTTCTGTCAGTTCAGACCATGCATTGGGTGGAGTACATGGTCTAAGGTTTAAATGCTTCCATTTCTGTCAGTTCAGACCATGCATTGGGTGGAGTACATGGTCTAAGGTTTAAATGCTTCCATTTCTATCAGTTCAGACCATGCCTTGGGTGGAGTACATGGTTTAAGGTTTAAATCCTTCCATTTCTATCAGTTCAGACCATGCATTGGGTGGGGTACATGGTTTAAGGTTTAAATGCTTCTATTTCTGGTAATTCAGACAATGCATTGGGTGTAGAACATGGTTTAAGGTTTAAATGCTTCTATTTCTGGTAATTCAGACAATGCATTTGGTGGAGTACATGGTTTAAGGTTTAAATCCTTCCATTTCTGTTAGTTCAGACCATGCATTGGACGGAGTACATGGTTAAGGTTTAAATGCTTCTATATCTGTCAGTTCAGACCATGCATTGGGTGGAGTACATGGTCTAAGGTTTAAATACTTCCATTTCTGTCAGTTCAGACCATGCATTGGGTGGAGTACATGGTCTAAGGTTTAAATGCTTCCATTTCTGTCAGTTCAGACCATGCATTGGGTGGAGTACATGGTCTAAGGTTTAAATGCTTCCATTTCTATCAGTTCAGACCATGCCTTGGGTGGAGTACATGGTTTAAGGTTTAAATCCTTCCATTTCTATCAGTTCAGACCATGCATTGGGTGGGGTACATGGTTTAAGGTTTAAATGCTTCTATTTCTGGTAATTCAGACCATGCATTGGGTGGAGAACATGGTTTAAGGTTTAAATGCTTCTATTTCTGGTAATTCAGACAATGCATTTGGTGGAGTACATGGTTTAAGGTTTAAATCCTTCCATTTCTGTTAGTTCAGACCATGCATTGGGTGGAGTACATGGTTAAGGTTTAAATGCTTCTATTTCTGTCAGATCAGACCATGCATTGGGTGGAGTACATGGTCTAAGGTTTAAATACTTCCATTTCTGTCAGTTCAGACCCTGAGTCGTCAGCTTGCGAATCTGCCAGAGCTCAATGTCTGGGATGGAAGCAACATCTCACCATTTAGACACTACACACTCAATCCAAATCCAATAATTTTCCACAGGACAAGGAAGTCAGCCATGGAAGTGTTGAAGTATTAGATTTCAGTTCACCTCCTCTTACTTCTCACTTCTGTGGTCATTGTCAGGTCAGTCAGAGGTCAGTCTGACACGGCCAGTGCAAACAATACAGCACAAAGCTACAGAGGGCGGATTATGAAAATAGCCTCCACCACTGCAAGCCCACAAGGCAAGCCTTGGGACCAGCCTTGAACCCTC